TTCTCAGGTCCCCTTCCCCCGCGTCCTTGGGGCCCGGAGCAGGCGGTTGGGGGTGGGCCCGTGCGAGCGGCGGGCGCGGGGCCGAGGTGGCTCCGTGTCTCGCTCGGCTGCGGCCGGAGCCGGGAGCCGGGGGCCGGGGGCTTACAGCGGGGGAGGCTTGTTTTTAACTCTTTAAGGTCCCACGTACGTGACCCTGAAAGCAGGAGGAGGTAGGTTTATAGGAAGAGAGAAGCTCGCGGGAGGTCGCGCTGCCAAGTACGGAGACCGGGAAGCGGGCGAGGGCAGGCCGGGCCGCGTATCCGGGACTCCCCGCTGGCTTTCCCAAAGTTTGTTAATTTTCGAAATGAGATGCCTAGCTTTCAGTCTGCTGGAAGAGCCGGTTTGTTTGGCTTAGCTTCAAGGTGTACGGCAGTTTATATAACTCAAGTTTATATCAACTTTTGCACAAGTTAGGAGAGAACTAACGCAAGAAGTGGAAATTGCGAACCTCGTATTGTCGCAGAAAGTTTTCAGAGATGTGTGGCTTGCTAGTCAGACATGAAAGCTTCGTTACTAACTCCCGTGAATCACGGAAAGGCCCTTGCGGAAAAATCCCACCGCCTCCCCGGGGAAGAGTAGGCTGACGGCGCCCTTTGTATTCTCAACGTTTTTTATTTTAGGTGTGGATTCGTAGTAGTATTTTATGGCTGAAATCTTTTGAGAGCATTAGTTGATTTATTGGAAGTTAGGGTGAATGACCAAAAAAGGAAAGAGAAACAAACTCTTAACCATTTGAACTTGTTTATTTGCTGATTGTTCTTCAGGTTTTACCCACACGTTGTAAGTAACTCTGTGCATCAGAATGTTTTCTCAGTATCTGGAAGGAGTCGTGTACTCCCTCTGCCCAGACCACCCCGTCCTCTGATTCTGTCTGGGAGGTTTAACCCAGGCTGTACTTGCTCCAGGGAAGAGACCCCAGCTCCCATGGGTTTAGGACTTTAGTGTTTGTGTGGTCCCTAATAAAAATGAGTGCCCTTTGTGCATACTAGTGAGCTGTGGGATTTTTTGGGTTATGCAGCGTATGAATTTGGGGCATAAATTGGCTCGGTCCAGTGGTTTGTAGGTGCGAATGACTTGACAGGAAGTGGGAGGAGAACAAAAGGGGGTGAGGAGCCGCTTTCCCGAAATGTGTCTAACAGGCTCGGTGTGTTGTACAAGACAGGCGAGTTGGGAATTGAAGAGCTTTTAAGGAATTTGGCATGTGGTGAGTATAATAATTCGAAATAGCAGTATTTTAAAATTCGTTTTCTTGACTTGGAAGCGGTAGATCCGGGAGATTGTGGCTGCAGAACTGAGACTCACCTGGAGGCCTGGATAGAGAGTATTGTTTGAGTAATACTCTGAGTACTCAGTTAGGGATGGGGAATTGTAGTGTGATACCTGCAACCAAGTGGCATACAGTAGTTTTCCTCGCAAAACAAGCCCGTTAGTTTTCAGGTGTTAGGACCAAGGGTGGAAACGTTTACCCTCGTGTCAACTCTGTTTTGGACAGTTGGCAAACAAGGAAGTTGTACTAGTCACCAATGCGTTTTCAGCCTAGCAAACTCAGAAACCTGGATTGGGGTGGGGGGAGGGTCTATGTGCATTTTTTAGTTTCTAAGAGGGCAGAGTTATTTTTATCTGGGGTTTTCTGGATCGCAGTGTAATCCTCACCATGTCACCTTAGTGATTTTGGCGTTACTTCTCACAGGATTTTTAGAAAACTTTTTTTTTGTGGGAATAATCTTGAATTTAGGATGGTGTTCTGTGCTTAAACTCTGCTTTGCTTAAAATTTGTCCAGGACACCACCCAGCGGTGGAAGCCGGGTAACTGCGGCTTATCAGTGAATCAGGACGGGGTCGGTGGCAGGATTAAGAAGAGCTGTAGTTCTCGCTGGTGAATGGAATTTGAGAGAATTTCACACTTCAAAAAAGTGAAGTGAGAGAAGAAAAATGAGATTTGTGAAAATAAGAACACTGCTAAAAATGATAATGTAGGAATAGAAAGGCAGTTTTAAAGCCTGTGAAGAGAATGGTTACTGGATGTGTCAGCTAGAAAAATCTTGATGTTTTTATTATATATGATAATAAGGTTTTTTTTTCGAAGTTTGTATTTTTAGTGGGACATACAAAAACCCAGTTGACTGTTTTTAGTTTTTTTTGTTTTGTTTTGTTTTAGTATTTTTTATTGAAGTATAGTCAGTTTATAATGTGTAGATTTCTGGTATACGGCATAGTCATGTAGGAATATACGTTTATTCGTTTTCATATTCTTTCACCATAAGATACTACAAGATTCTGAATATAGGTCCCTGTGCTATACAGTATAAACTTGTTTTGCTTTTGTTTTGATTCTACTTAAGAAAGAAGTAAATTTTGGAGGCCGCTCTGGAGCGGGAGTGAGCGCCTCCCTGCTTGAACAAAGAATAAAACTTTGCTTCTGAACCGAAAAAAGAAAAGTAAATTTAAAAAACAGTCTGTTTTTAAGGTGGGGGAAATGCTTTCTGAAAAAACAGTGAAAGCAGACACATCTGTGAGGGTTGCAGAGCGTGTCACAGCAGAGAGGATCTAAGTTACATCTTTCACGTCATTTCAAAAGCTGTACCTTATTTAGGCATAGCTCAGGTTTCTCTTAAAATTGTTACCCTTTCTAAAATTTGTAAGGATTTTTTGATCATTCTAAATAAAAAGCAGCAACCATTGCAGATGGCTGTGAGGAAGTAGAACTATTTGTATGTCAGAATACTCCAAGTAGTTTAGGATTCTTAAACTCAGTTACAAGGGTCAGTTGTCTTTGGAAGGGCAACTTCCTCAGGCAGCAGGTGATTTTGTGCCCTTTAAAATTCTCGTCCTGCCTTTGTCAGCAAGGCGCTGAGAGTTTGCTGGATGTGTGAGGTGGCACACCCGGGCCTCCTGTGCACTCCCTCAGGCAGGCTTGGAATTTGAACGTCTGTGTTCCTTCACGGCCAGAGCATTGTCTTGCACCTGAGTGCTCAGAAAATACTGGTTGAATTGGATCCCTTTTCCTGGTTTGTCTGTTCCCCCATTACCCTTCCGAAGTTACTAATGGAATCCAGAGTTCAGGAAAGTTGGGGGAAAAGTGCATCTACAAATTCAGTTTACAAGTACCTGGGCTGAGTACCTGCCAGGTGTTATAACCGAGGCTGAGTACCTGCCATGGATTGTAGTTTATTTTAATGGAACGAGGTTAGTCATGCCTGTAGGTGTCTAATAGGTGATGATTGCTAGTTGAAAGAATGGTCTTGGATCTTGAATTATAGAGGAAATAACTTCTTTGTTTCAGTAATACTTCAGGGCATATCAGGTAAGAACAAAATATGTAAGCAGATGATCTGTAATAAGGAATATTGATTGATTTCTGTCTTCCTC